GAACTGCAGATGCTGGAGAATCCGAGACAACAAGGTGCAGGGCTGGATGAACACAGCAGGCCAAGCAGCATCATAGGAGCTTGGCCTGCTGTGTTCATCCAGCCCTGCACCTTGAGCTAATTAATGAGGTAATAGTTTATCTTCAGAAAACAATATTGCTACATTGATGAGTGACATGGTCTTTTAGAAAATTCAATATGCAGCTTGACAGATGGCAAGTTGCAATTTCTAGTTATGATTATACTCAAGAGGCTGCAGCAAGAGCTCTGAGGGCATGATAAACCTAGGAAGGAATCTTATAGAAACAAAAACAGAAATTGTTGGTGAGACTCAGCAGGTCTGACAGCATTTGTGGGAAGACAGCAAGTTAATGTTGAGTTGAGGGACTCTTCATCAGATCACTGTTTTTGTTTCAGATCTCCAGCATCCACAGTTCTTTGTTTTATTTTAGTGTGGAATCTTATAGGTTCTGCTTGTCATAATTGTTGACAGGCCCCCTTGTGGTGGGTGAAGAGCTGAATGACCTTTTCTGCCCTATTGCTATTTTCCTCACAGAATGAGAGAGAGGCATGTGTTATGGGAGATGAAAGTGGGAGGCACAGCTATTTCCATTGGTGCAAGTGGGAAGGGTCACTGTGAGTGAGTGGGTAGCGCAGAGGGCATGCAAGCTTGCTGGTGTCAGGGGCTAGGAGGGTGAAGGCAAGTGTATAAGATATTGCAGGCAATAGCAAGAGGTATGAGCTTTGATGGGAGGTGACTATACTTGCAGAGATAAAGTGAGTGTGGGGGTATCGGACAGATGATGGTGGCAGTCACTTTGGTGAAGTGGAGAAGATCACTGACCTTCCTTCATTGCAGGCATTCAATCAGATGGCTGCAACTGCTTTGTCCCAGGTGGCAACATCAGACCAGCTGGCATGGTCTGGTCTTCTGGCCTCCTCATCAAGCAGGACCTCCTGCAAAGCTTGGTCCGCTCTACTCCTGTCTGCCACGTTTGGGCAAATCTCAGTAACTTTTAACCTAGCCGGATAAAACAGTGGGTGCCTGGGTGCACAACAGAATTTTAAAGAGGCCATGGGTGCAAGGGATGCCAGTGAATTCTGGGATATCTGCTGACTGGCAAGTTGCTCTGGGAATGGCAAGATGGGACAGAAATCGAAATTGGAAGGATGCGATAGGTAAGTAAATAGTTGCATTTGGGAAGGAAGAAAGAGAAAGCTCACTAGATTTTGTGATGAGAATCCCTCTAAAAAATTCAATGGAAATCGGACTTAGAACATTGTCTAGGGGATTAAAAGGTAACATTTTTGATCACCTAACTGCTCCAAAGATCTTTAAATAAGAAAACATTCTTATTGTCTTGGAAACCTCTCAAACTACTCACTCTTCTATTTATCCACTAGCCTGTTTTAGGTAAGGTCATAGGAATTACAAGAAATAATTTATGGAGTGTACTAGGAGAGTACATCGTTCGAGCAGGTTGCTAAGAGACTGTGAGAAGCAATTTCCTGAAAAGGTATTAATTCTCAGTGGATTTCTTCCAGTTTGACTCTACTGAGCAGATAATTAGAGTCCTTACCTGCTACCATTAAAGGAATATAGGAACAGCAATTAGGTCATTCACTCACTCAAGCCTGCTCTACTATTCAATTACATTACCAGTTGAACTGTACCTCAAATCCATTCACTGACCTTTGTTTCAAATCCCTCAGTATCCTTACCCAATAAAAATTAAAAATAAAAATTTTGGGTTTTGGAAATCTGAATTGATCCAATCTTCATACCCTATTAGGGATAGTTCTAAGTTTCCATTATACATTGTAATATGGTGTTTCTTGATTGCACTTCTGAATGCCTCAGCTCTAATTGCAAGAATGCACCCTCTTATATCCTGCATTATACCAATACAGGAAATGATTTCTTTGTACTTACCATGTTAAATCCTTTCACATTAGAAAGCACCTCAATTAGATCACCCATCAACCTTCTAAATTCAGACTACAGGAATGCTAAAAATAATTGGGAAAATTTCCCCCGATGAGTATTGTGTTCTTTAGAACTTTGCTTTTCTCTAGTCAGAGTAGAATAAACATCAAGAGAAATCATGATCATATTGTAGAGCACTCTCGACAGATCAAAGCTTGAACAAAGATGGAGAAACATAATTTTAAATTCAAACAAAAAGAATGGGGTTATCTGGAGCCAACAAATTCAACATTTCTACAAAATAAAGATTTATAGCTGCTGCACCAGGTAAGGTCTTACTTTGCAAGGCAGAGAAATTATTCTAAACAAGAAACTGGTTTTAAATTTTGGCACACTATTCCTATATTTTTCAGCAAATGCTTTCTCCCACATGTCAAATTCAACCTAAAAGAAATTACCAGCATGAATTTTCCATGTATACACTTTAAATATATGAATCAGATTGGTTTATTAATTTGTCACGAAGAAGGAATAATTTTACAAAACAATCATCCTGGCCACTTTTGCATCAGTAAGACTGACAATAAAACTTCAGAGTCAAATGGAATTTAATTTCAATGCTGAAGTACTGAACCAATGTACTTCTATACTGCAGATTTTATAATTCTACATCCAAGTACAGTTGACTGCTCATCTGAGATGTAGTCACTGTGTCGGAGGCAATGTGTGTCACTCTGTTTTTCAATATTTAAACAAATAGCCACCCTAAAAATTGTTAAGCCCCAAATCTCTGTTATATATTTGACTCAATTTTTACTTGATTGTTTTCAAAAAGCAAAAATTCTCAGGAAGGAGATGGGTAAAGTAGTCACTTTATTTCTAAATCTACAGAACAAGTAACTGAATTTTCTTTAAAAATTGGACATTTATGTCTTGAACGAGGTAAGGATTTTGGAGATATGACAGATACTGTCCAGAATTGTGTAACACAGTTGTCTTTTTATTCACAGCACTGTCCCTCAAAAGGAATGAGGGAAAACCCAATTTTGGTGATGTTGAAAAACAATGACTACGGCACTGGAAGACCTTCCTCAAACTACTTTGGGAACTTTAGCATTCACGTAAATCAGTGATTCCCAGAGAGTACCATGGGAACTTTAGCATTCACTTGAACACAAAACTTTTTTTTGTCCGTGGACCACTTACATAGGACAAAAAACTCCAGAATCACATATCTGGCCTAGACACCATTTTCAAGCCAAGAGAGCTTCAGTTTCAGGCCAGGCTCATATACAGTTGACTCTTCCTCAGATTTTCAACACTTGTGCCGTTGAAAATAAAGATCTTTCCGTCACACATTGTTGGAAATGGCACCAGGTGCGTTAGAGCACTGCAAGACATTGGGACAGTACAAAGAACTGGTTTGTCAAACTTTTCTTGGCAAATTATAGCTTCAACACCTTGCATTTTGGATCAGTCCGCGAACAATTCAAAAGATCCTGTACAAAACTGTGCTAATACCCTCCCATCTGTCTGTGAGACACAGAATATCTATTTTAGCAATATAATGTAACTGGACAGGTTCTATGCCAGATGATTTAGACCATTATGAGCAATAAATAGGAATACAAAGTGCTGAACATTGAGTTACTTTGAGGATAAGTGTCTTGAACTGAAATGCTCCAATAGTAGAGTCCAGCTTAGGTGAAATGGGCATGTGGCGTCGATGGTTGATAATAAATTCCCTATGATGATCACAAGTTTACAACCTGAACTTGAACAATGTCTAAGAGGGAGGCCAAAATGAAGGCTCAAATACTCTTTAAAGACAAACCTCAGAAAATGTTGCACATCTGCCAAAGGATGGGGGGAGAAAAAGCTCCTGCTCCTCGTTCTCATACGCCCCAAGAAAAAACAAAATTTATCCACATCTAGTGTGGAAAGCCATGCAAGTCTGCAATAAGCTCCAGAGCCATGTTCCAAAGCACAACAAATGACTCTACACTTTCAAGAAATGGCCATCTTCTACACAGTAGCGATCATAGTTTTTGCAGGTGCTTTTGAAGAAGCTTTAGCAAGTTTTTGCAGGGTATCTTGAGGATAACGTGCATTGAACACACTGGTTGCGAGAGGATGTTTAGGTTGGTGGATGGAGTGCCAATCAAATTGCTTTGTATTGCATGGTGTTGAGCCTTTTGAACATTGTTGGAGCTGTGCTCCCGCAAGTGAATAAAGTGTTAAAAGCATACATATAGCATTCCTCTGACATGGAAGTTTTAAAATGGAGGCTTTAACCCAAATAAACCGTTTTGAGCATGTAATTGCAGGTGGCATCATATGAAAACATTTCAATTCAGCTAACAGTAATATATAGCACATGCTACTCTAATTGTGTTAATCATTTAAAATCTCAAAAGGTCTCGAGAAAATGTTTGCAGAAACAAGATACTGAATTCAGTCCTCAGAGGCAGATCTAACTCACTTAATTCTGATTATACTGCTCGATACAGAAACATTATACCCCAGCAGAAAAGCTTGCATATTTCCATAAAATGTGAGCAACCAGCTTATAATGCTAGTTGGTAGCACTTGTTGAGCTCAACTTGGTCAATTAAGGTGTGGCAGGTAGCATAGGTCAGAGTGGAAGTCAATACTGGACTAACAGCAGTTAAGCGGATAGGGCCAGGAACCGGTGTTTGCCAAAATGACTAGAAAAAGCTGTGTTGAGACCTCCAGGGGTGTACAAGTCAAATATTGAGGTTGAACAAAAGTTGATGAGTGAAATGGAAGCAGTCATCAAAAATCATACTGGCCACCTCAATATGATTGGATTGTCATGACTTAGCCTTTGCCTATTTGTTTCACCACTATCTAGTTTTCTGGAAGAAAACTGTTCCTTCAAAACAGGATAGGTATTAAAGCAAAATTTAGTGTTCCAGATCAGGGAGTAATAAAAGCTGCATGGGACCCCATGCCCAATTGCTGACTAGCCACTCCTGCTATAAGGAGTGAATGTTCAACTGAATTTTGTGAAGGTGGTTTCTTCCCATCCTAAGCAAATCTGAAAATGTTGGTGGAGTAAACAGAAAAAATACTAAGGGGTTTCCAGCACAAGGCAGCAGAAACAAAATTAATTAGAGGTCAGGAAAAAGAACAGAATAGTTTTTGTTTAAACACACAACTGTGAAATCCAAAAATGTATTATAAGCAACATTTAAGAATAGGCTGGATAGACAGGCTGAGGGCAAAAGATAACATATACATTTAAATAATTTGTGTTTGTTTCTGGAGAGGAGAAGGCAAAGCAGAGACTTGATAAGAAATGAAAAACTTCTGAGAGAACTGGGTAGAGTAGATAGGGAGAAATGGTTCCCTCCCATAAAAGAATCAAGAACGAGGCGCCACAGATACAAGATAATTTGCAAGAGAAGCAACTGTGGTGTCAGATAAATTCAGCAAGTAGCCAGATCTGGAACACACTACCTCAAAGTGTTAAGGAAGCAAGTTCAATTTAGGCTTTCAAGAAGACATGAGATGATTACTTAAATCAAAATAATATTCAGGGTAATAGGGTAAAAGCTATAGAAACAATGTTGCTTGGTATGGAGTATTTCAGCAATGAAGAGAGGCTGGATAAGCTCATGTTGTTTTCTTTGCAGCAGAGAAGGTTAAGGGGGGAACATGATAAAACCTAGAAGATTGAGGGGCACAGACAGCATGAAAGAAAGCAGCTGTTTCCCCTGGTCAAAAGATCAATAACAAAGGGACATATCTTTAAAGTGAAAGGCAGGAGATTCAGAGATTTAAGGGAAACCTTTTCACCCAGAGAATGGTGGGGATCTGAAATGCACTATCTGGAAGGGTAGTTGAGGCAGGAAACCTCACAACAACTTAACAAGTACTTGGATGAGCAATTGAAATGTCATAACATTCAAGACTAATGGGCCCAGTGTGGGAAAGTGGGATTCTCTGCATATTTTTGGCAATGTAGACTCAATGGACTTCTTTTGCACTGTATAATAATATGATGGACCGAATATGGACCTTCCGCACCGCCACAATTCTGCGATTCTGCATTCTCGGAATACGTCAGATGTGAAGGGCTTATTGCTGTGTGGAGGATAAGGACTGAGAGGGCTGGGCCAAGTGCTTATGTTGTATTTTCTGCATTTAACTGTATAAGCAGCAACATGTAAATTCATACCCTAGAATTGGCAGTGAAAGTCTTCAGGATTAGAAACGGTGGGGGGCAATGTTTCATAGATTGGGAAAGAACAAAAATACAGAGGCTTTTTCTTAAACCAGTTCTCTAGCAGGTAAACCATATTGTCAGAAAGGGGACGGTGCAAATTGGTGGGAATCAGTCAATAAACATATCCGAGCCGTCAGGCCTGACTTTATTATTAGAATCTTGTTGATGATGATGACCCTCTTTAACCAAATCAAACTCTGCCTCAGGATCCTTACCGGGTCTTTTACAGGAAACCCACGCTTCCCTCTCATTCTCCCTGTGGGATAAAACCGAGACGTCATTAATACCCGCACAGGAGTGAAAAGGAGCCACAAGAAAAGGTTTGTTAGAAATTTCTGGCCCCCTCAGACACAGTTACCGCAGAGCTTGAGCCCAGTCGCTTTGGACGAAGATCCGGCCTCCTGCCATGGCGACGCCACGCTGCCGTAAACCAAACGGCCGCCGCCACTGTCGCAAAGAGCCCTCACCCGCTCTTCCGCCCCCCCCCGCACAGGCTCTGTTGTCCGGTCGCTGAGTGGGTTTACGTGGTACCGTGATCACTTTGAAAGTTCTCCCTCCCTCTCTTCCACAACGTTGTAAACGACTTTCGTTTTTTTTAGATTTTTCAGTTCATTTAAACGGATTCTTTTTGAAAAAAAAATCATCGTATTAAACGGCCCACTCACAATTAATTCGTTTTCATTTCCTGACAGAAGATACTATTTTATTGCTATCCTGCAATTATTCTAACTCATCCAGGTTATTTCGCCCATTTCTATGCCTTCTGGCTTTTTCTCCATTGTCCTTCCACTCCAGCAATGATTGCAGTGGGAAAACAAGACTCAACCTCTCTTCCCAAACATCTCCACATTGCGGCAAGATTCAAAAGATCTCTAATGAGCTCCTCAACTACATCTTTGGTGACTTTCTTCAACCTCCAGATCAGAGTTTGGCATGGCAAACGGACAAATGGAAGTAAGACATCCCCTTAACTTTTCAGAGGTTTAATTGACTTCTTCAAGGAAATGACTAGACGTGCGGATAAGCGTAGTGCAGTGGATGTAGTTAACGTGGACTTAGGTAAGGCTTTTGACAAGGGCTCATATGGAAGAGTGGTCAAGAGGGCAAAACCCCAGGAATCCAGGTCAACTTGGCAAATTGGATTCAAAATTGGGTTAGAGTAAATGTCAAAGGTTGATGATACAGCAGCCCCTAAGTACTGTATTTATCTCGATCTAGATCAAATTCTTTAGCTCTGGAGTGAAGTTTGATCTCTCAACCCTTTGACTCAGAGACAGGAATATTATCACTGAAACAAAAGAAAGTCCAGTGAATGTTATACATATAAAGCAGAACAATCAGCATCTTTAAGAATAAAATTAATCTAATAAGTAGGGGTCTTGACCCGTGAGATCATCACATGGACTGCAGTGGTTTACAAAAGCTTATGATCACTTTCCTAATGAAAAGTATCAACAGCCAATAAATGCCAATCAGCTCTTTGACTGTGCTGACATGAATTACAGCCATTGAAGATATTCTCCTGCTGTTTTAACCCTTCTTATTTGCTCTTCACATCTCGTCTTATTCTCTGAGCACTGGACCTGTTTGCTGCAGTAAGCTTACAACAACTGTAGTGAAACCAATATTTTCCCTCTCTCTAACTGGTGGAAAGATTGCTTTTTAAAACCTGTTTTGCATATCAATTCTGACTCTGTCCTCCAGGGAAAATACTATTGGCTGCTGGCAGGAAACAAATGGACATGCCATGTTTTCAATGGGCTCAAAAAATCTTAGCCAATCTCTCTATCATGAGCAATTTGCATATCAAATCACCTGGCTTGGATCCACAGACCATCTGTCTCCAGCCTTCCATTCTCCAATTTAACTCCTGGTCAGTAGAGATAGCTTTCATTTTAACTTGGGAATTTTCCAAAACTGTAAAACTCCCGATTTGTTACCCTTGTCAAAGACTTTGAAAAGTTCTGTGAGAATTTTACATTAAATGTACATTTCTTACAGCATAATTAAGTAACTGGTCAAGTACACATTTGGGTTGGATCATCGATTCGTTCAAACCAATGTCCTGGAACATGACAGGCTTTTCTAGGATTGATGTTCCTGAAATGGTACAGCCTCAATAAAGTCGTCCATTGGGGTGTGTACAGATGCTGAAGTGGTATCTTTGCCATGCTTGGATAGGAAATAGTGCCAGATTATTTTTAACATGTTTTTTCCTTATTGCAAGCAAAGAAGTAGATACCAAGGACCTTAAAGCTGCACTGTATTAGCATTTGTTAATCAGTGAAAGTACAGCAGCTGGTATATCTTCCCTGACATATTGATAAACAGGAAAATATAATTTTCATACCAGCTGATGCTAATTCAGTCAAGCCAGAAAAGCAATTTTTCCAACTCTCACATTTTCACATGCAAAACATATGCTTTTCTTTTGCCCAGGAAGAAACTTTAGTGAATCATTCAATTAGTCCTCAGGAATGTACAGCTGAACTTTGTTGAACCAGGCAATTTTGCACTGTATAATTTCACTATACATGTTTGGTTAGTAGAAAGACGAAAGCATTTAATTTTAGTAAGAAACACACATGTTCTGTGTGGGGATGTTATTATTTCGAAGTTATATTTCATTTCTTTTTCTAATGCAATGTACAAAATTTTAGCCATGAGCTACAAGTGATTCACTGAAAATACAGATGTGATTAATTATAGTTTAATTAATAAATAAAGGGTTTTAGATATAGTTATTGAAAATTTTCTCTTCCTTATTTTCAAATTCCTCCAGGACTTTGCCTGTCCCTACCTCTGTAATCTTCTCTAACCCACAACCCTTAAAGTTGTCAATGTTCCTCTAATTTTAGCCTCCTGTGCTTCCTCAATTTTAATTGTTTCATCATTCATATCCATGCCTTCAACTGTCTAGCCCTTAAGCTCTGAAATACTCTTTTCTCGTCTCTTCATCTCACCTTCATCCTTTCTGTCACTCATTAAAACCCACTATTTTGCCCAAACTTTGGTAATCTGACCAGAAATCCCCAATGGGTTTGGTGTCTTTCTTTTTATACAACGCTCAAGTGAAGTGCCTTCTCTTGTTTTATTACATTAAAGTTGCTACATAAGTGAAGGTTGATACATGATATTCATCTGGTGTAGATATCTATGTTTCAACCTTTTGTGCTTTACATGCTTAAACAGTGTAAGAGGAAAACAGAGTACATGGTTTTTTTTCTCATCCTGTGCATTTTATTCCTTTGGTGGCCGCTTAGTTGTTCACTTCTAACATACTGTAGTACACAGGTGAAAAAGCCATACATAAACACTGTGAAAACCTCCATAGCGCTGTAAGGGATAGAGACTTAGGGCGACACAGTGGTTAGCACTGCTGCCTCACAGCGCCAGCGACCCAGGTTGCTATTTGTGTGGAATTTGCATGTTCTCCCTGTGTCTGAATGGGGTTCCTCTGGATTCCTCCCACTGTCCAAAGATATGCAGGTTAGGTGGATTAGCCATGGTTAATGCAGCGTTATGGGGATTGGGTGGTGGCTGGGTACAGGTGGAACACTCTCAGATGGTTGGTGCAGACTCGATGGGCTGAATGGCCTCTTTTCACACTGCAGGGATTCTGATTCTACGTATCAGCACGGTGAGCACCACTTCAAGTCAGGAGAGGAAAGCAGTTTTCAATAGTTCAACCATACCACAGAGTGGAACTCTCAATTTGCGATAATCTGATGAAGTGGTAATTAAAATTGCAAGAGCAGAAAAGGACTCTAAAATGTTACATACAGTAGGGGAAATAATGATATTTCGACCATTTGTTCAGAGCTGAAAAGCTATGGAGAGCTCTTTTACGAGCCAAGTGGTGGGCAGTAGAAAGAGTGGTCCACTTAGGCATAGTTTAATGATGGATGTAATAGAGTGGTTGCAGATGAGCTAGAGAGGATGTGTGAGGATGGGTGTAAGACAGATGCACGTGGTATACAATGGCAAGACATTTCCTGTGGGAATAGCTACAAGCTACAAATCATTCCCAGGTCTGCATGTTGTGTTAGTTTGATACCGCAAGGACCAGTGTTTGGGCTCCAAATGTTCACATTCTGTATCAATGATTTGAATAAGGAGACTAATTGGAATATTGCCAGGTTTAGAGATGACACAATATGTTGATGGGTATCTGAATTGTCAGGAAGATGAATAGAGGCTTCAAAGGGATTTAGACAGGGTGGGTGAGTGGTCAAGAACGTGGTGGCTGGAAATATAACGTGGATGAATTTGAGTTTATCCACTTTGATAGGAGGAATGGAATAGCAGAGTATTTGTTACACGGTGAGATTAAATTCAGAAGTAATACTCTTAATATTTGCATAATACATTCCACATCAGGTTCACAGTCCAAAGGCAAAAACATTTCAAATTGGAAATCATCAAATAGCAATGGATATTAAATTTTCCTCTCAACACCATATTCCACTGAGGTATCTTAATACATTTTAATACTCTTGATTTACAATGTACATTCTTTGTAAGGCACACAGCTTGAGGTGTTCTACAGTTTCCAGCCTCTCGTACACTATGACTGCAAAGCCTTAGACAATGATCTTTCCCCATTGCGTCTCTATGGGGCTGTCTCAGGCACGACCCTCAGTGTGTAGTCCCAGAGACCTTGGAACAAAAACAGAAGTTGCTGGAAAAACTCAGCAAGTCTGGCAGCATCTATGAAGAAAAAATCAGAGTTAACGTTTCGGATCCAGTGACCTTTCCTCAGAACTCATGGTAGCTGGGAAAACATTGCTTTATATGCAGAAAATATGGATGGGGAATAGGATAGGGTAGGGAGTAAACAATAGGATAAAGCCAGGAGAGAGAGAAGAGCAGTTGGATAGACAAAGGAGTTGATAACGATCTGGCTAAGGGGGTGAATAGTTATTAATGGGGACTATTAGTGACTAACAATAGGTAGTGTGTAATGGCAGGCTATATGATAACAAGGCCCAGTGTGTGGGGTAGGTGGCTAGGACATGGGAGAGTTTATGCCCAAAAATTATTGAACTCAATATTGAGTTTGGAGGGCTGCAGGGTCCCAAAGCAGAAAATGGGATGTTGTTCTTCCAGTTTGCATTGAGCTTCGTTGGAACACTGCAGCAAGCCAGAGAAAGAGATGTTGGCGAGAGAAAAGGGTGGTGTGTTAAAGTGGCAGGCAACATGTCTTTTTTGCGAACAGAACATAGATGGTCTGCAAAGCAATCACCCAGTCTACACCTTGATTCCTCGATGTGGAGGAGACCACATTGTGAGCAATGAATGCAGGAGACTAGATTCTGGGAAGTGCAGGTAAGTGTTGCTGCACCTGGAAGGTATGTTTGGGCCCTTGGATAGTGGGGAGGGAGGAGACAAATGGGCAGGTGGTGCACCTTAGCCGGTTGCAGGGGAGGGTGCCATGGAGCTGTGTTTCGGGTGAAGGAAGAGTGGACCATGGTGTCCTGGAGGGAATGGTCCCTGCAGAATGTGGACAAGAGAGGGGAGGGGAATCGGTGTCTGGTGGTGGCATCTCGCTGGAGGTGACAGAAATGGCATGATGATCTTCTGGATGTGGATGCTGGTGGGATGGTAGGTAAGGACAAGGGGAACCCTATCGCTGATGCAGGAGCGAAGGGGGTGAGGGCAGAAGTGCGAGAGATGGTTCGACGCTGTTGAGGGCCCTGTCGACAATGGTGCTAGGGAATCCTCAGGTGAGGAAGAAGGTGGACATTTCAGAGGCTCCTTTGTCAAAGTTGGCCTCATTCCAGATCTTGGAATGTGTCAGTCTGCAACATTTACTCAAGGAAAACTCTGTGAACTTCAAGACCGGCAAGTTTTGGACCTGCCAAAAAGCGTATTTCACAAGTTGATTATCCTCTTGGTGCAAATGATATTTGTCTTGGTGTGCATCTCTTATTCCAGCCTGAAAAGTGCAGACAATTGTGTCACAGAGCTGCTTGGGCTGAACCTTGACTGAAAAATTGCCTCTCTCTCCAGATCTTCTTTGTAAAGACTCATACCACGAGGAGGATAACAATGGAATCATCCCCAAGGGCAATATGCAGAATGGGTGAGGTTCCGGGCACGTAGGAAGGATCTGACAGAATCTCACCACCAGCCCAGCTACATCTTGTTCCTCTTTGTAAGTTCTGCCAGTGAGACATCCTGCTTAATGACTTTGACAGTTTTATTTTCGGAGAATCATCCAACACTATCTGCCATCTCTTTTTCCCAGAAGATCTCAAGGACATTATGTGCTGACTACTACCCAATGGACTTACAGCCAGAAGTGTTATTCTGCATAACCCTATGCATAAGGGACACGATCAAACTACTTGGAATGTTCTGCAGCAATATGGCCAGGCTCATTTTTCGTAACACTGGGGATAGGTAGGGCCTAGCATTTAGTAACACATGGTGTTTGCTTACTGAGGGTCTCAGCTCAGTTTGAAGCAGCCATCAGGGTGTGGCTGATGTTGGGTGCATCATTTTACCCCTTTATCTAAATTTTTCTATATCGTTTACCATCATCACAGTCCATTTTCAACCCCCAGATAAAGCGGAAGATAGTTTGGGTAGTTGCCATGGTGCAGGAGTGTGCAATGGGCCAAACCTGTGCCATGTACAGTAACAAAGAGAGTGCCTCACACCAGAAGATTAGGTGCAGGGATTAGTCAGCTCAATTCCCAAAACACATAGCCTCACTCTTGCTTCAATTTAGCATGGTTTCCAAGTCCAGTTTGAACTGGTTGCATATGCTAACAAGGCTGCCTACCAACAATGGATCTGAACTGAATATGGTACCATCATCCAACTTTGAGCTGAACGCCTCCACTAACCTGGGCTATTTACCACTCTTATGACTGCACCCATCCATCCTGGACATGGAAATAGGTTCTAAACAATACATGAACAGGAAAGGGAAGACAGTGCAGTGCTGCCAGATTCCAGACTTGATCAGAAAGTTAAATTAAAACAAAAAACTGGGGATGCTAGAGATCTGAAACAAAAAAAAACATTGCTGGAGAAAGTCAGCAGGCCTGGCATCATCTATAGGAAGAAAGCAGAGTTGGTGTTTTGAGTCTGGTTGTCTGTTTTCTAACTATTGAATGAAACTGTGCTACTGATATTTGTGTAGGACATTTTGGAGAGCACATTGTAAAAGACTAGCTACATTTCTGGAACATACATTGGGGAAATTGAAGTTTGAACATAGCTATGCTGCAGAGAATGTATCAGATGATTTTTTTGCAACTCAAAGATGGAACTGTGTGGTGTTCACTAATTGGTTACACAGGTCATGTAACTTTTGGAGAAATTGGATTTGATAATGTGAGAGACAAGCTGGCACTAAGTGCCTCTGGGCTGAAAAGTTGCCCAGTAGCAGCCTTTGGATTTTTAAGTTTCAATATTGGACTGTCCTGCGAAGGCGAAGTTGAACTGAGACCTCCAGAAAGCTCTGTGAATGGAAAAACCTTTGAAGACTTTGAAAGGAAGAATTTCTAATTTAAGACCTAGTTACAACTGATGAGCTTCCAAATTGATGCTCAGCTATCATGTTACTATTAACAATAATGTGATATAATCACCAAACAAAACAAAAGACATGGTGAGACAATCACATTATTCCATCCTTGTGATTTGATCTCTTGATCCACAGAGTTTGTTTCCTTTTACGTATGTTTTCCACCATTGTATTTCTGCAGAGCTGTGTCTTGTTAATGTGTGTTTGCATGTTTGGATTAGCAAAAAATGTGGTTTAAGTTTACACAGTAGTAATTAAAGGATAAGTTTGTTTATAATACATTTTTTTGATGGAACTTGGTGTGAGTTTCATTTGTCCCAGATCACAAAGTCAGGAAAATTAACCATCTTGATGATTCAGTTGCTTATTCATTTATACATTTGTTACAGCTCAGTGTGATTTTCAACAGATTCCTCCTATCAGGATCCTCATAACATCCATTGTGGAGGTAGGCAGTATATTCTGTCAAAGGCTTTCTTTTGGTTCAGACTGATGAGGCAGGTGTCTAACCCCTTCTCACACATAATCAATTGTGTCCATGAGTAGTGCAACACAACATACAGCTGATTTTTTCATTGTACTGCAATGCTTATTTCAAAGACTGTATGAATGAACATTTTCAGGTTATTATTTATTATTTGTAGTTCTATAAAATGTGAAACTACACTGACTGACATCTACTTCATCTGCGCTTTACTAAAGCACCGTGTTTGACCATTGCAAAGGCAGCATTAATACTTTGAGAATGCATTATGCTAATTTGTGAGACGTTTAACGGGAAACACCATCCAAAATAATGCTCGAGAGAGAACTGGAAGCCTACACAAAGTAAAGCTGATAAAAATGAGCCAAAGTCTGGTGATGTGAACAGTTCAAGGTCATAACATAAATCTCTGCATTCAGATAATAATAGTATACAATTCAATTTTTATAATGTCACTTGAATTCTCTGACTACATTTTTGAAATCCATTTCTATTTCACAACAGAAAAAGTGAAAAGGAGTCAGCTGTTTGCATTACCTCTTTTAAAAAGAGGACAAACAGGATTTTATTTTTCCAAAGATACTAACCTTTCTAGTCCAATTGATATTTTGGTGAGGATAAGAACTGTACAATATACTACGATCTCCTTTCAGATATCCCAATTAAGTCTACATTCAGAATGGAATAAAGTGGCAGATTTTGAATTGTGGTGAATAATTTCAAGGCAGAATGTCTCTACTTAAAATCAGACAGCAGTAAATTTGATAACAAAGTCTTTTAGAGTTCATTTTATTAACAATATATCACACAATAATCTGCTTGTTTTTAAGTCCTTGAAACAATGATTACTACATATAATTTTCAATCACAGTTCTAACGCCACCAAATACAGTTGCCTCTGGCTTGATCACCTTCCTTAGATGTCTTCTCAACTAATTTGCGCTATCAGTCCTTCTAATTCTGGCCGAGCCTTGAACCGAGCATTGAATTCAGCTTCAGTGTGCTGTGAAAACAGTGAAAAAGCAATATTATTTGTCAAGTAGGACAATAAACATTACATTTTGGAGGTCAGGTTTAAGAGATGATATTGTTCTTCAATTAAAGACTTGGAACATTTTCCTCTTTGTTAACGAACATTGGAACATTTTTCCACATAAGTTTTTTTGTTAAAATTTCACAAAAAGTTAGGCTTCAATGTGTGATATCTGGTATTGATGAGGAAAAATAATTTTGACATCTTTCAGTGAATTGAGTAGGTTTTACTTTTGCTGCAGCATTTCTACTGGAGCTTACAAATACTAATCAAAATAAGTGATGTTAGCGAAATTTTCGTTAAAAATTGACTATAATTCCCTAAATCCAGTACTGGATAAATTTGGTTTTGTTCACATTCTTATTATAAATTTATGGGTGCATGGAGTTAGGTTAAAATTCCTTGATCTATATATTTGCCTTGGTAATGGGGAAAAGTTTTGGCTAAAGCATGTCAAAGCTTTCTTTGTGATTGGAGCTAGAGTTCTCTTCAGCCCATGTGCAAACTTCAGAGCCAACCTGGGTGAGAAAATTGTGACCAAAAGCAGAAAAGGTTGCAGGAAGAGGGGGTTTCAGCCTGCACTGACCTCACAACTGGCATTTCTCTACCAAAAATGTCTCCATTCTCCCAATGAAGCAACTGGAGGCAAACAGGTCTGGTAATTACATTGAAGCTGGATGTCAAGACATTGAAGTTGACTAACAAGTTCTGTCAAATAGTGTCTTGGAAACAGACAGATGGAATTTCAGTTTCATTTCTCACCTATAAAATTGCTCTCCTTCAAAACCACATTGAAGTGTCAGCCTTGATCAAAGCTTGGTAATCAAGACATGAATAATGTAAATAATTCATATTAATCTTCATTAGGCTACGAGATTAACTCACACCAGCAATAGGAGGTTATAGATTTTTGCAAGTTGTACAATGTGTGTGTTCGTGATGACGTTCACATACATTTAACTTCCCTTCCTATGCTGCACATCACTTTTCAACTGACAGTAATGGAATTGCTTCCAGGTTTGTTCACACAGTGCTTTGGAATTGAATGTTAGGAGTCGTATTAAAACCGTCTGGGATAAGTCATCTTGCCATATGAGAGAACAAAGTCAAAAGTTCAATGCAATGAACTGACCATGAGCAATCTTTTTTAAATTATTTGTTCTTGGTTTGTGGACAACACTGGCAAGGGAAATATTTATCAGTTATCCTTTGCTCCCCTGAGGGAATTAAGAGTCAACTATGTAACACTGCACAGGAATCACATGTAAACCGGACTGTGTGGGGTGGCAAATTCTGTTCCTTCAAGGACAGCATAGTAAGTGCGAACTTCCATTTCATTCAGTGTATTAGTAAATTAACAAATCCATTTCCTGTGTCACTAGGCTTAGAACCAAGCTGTTAAAATTCAAATACAAAACAGTGAAGTGGAAACAAGTGATTCCATATTTAACATAATCCTCAAGTACCATTATCTATCCCAATATCTTGATCCAAAGACACAACACAAATCTGATAGACTTCTGCGGTTCCTTCCTTCTCTTTTACAAGGCTACATTACTTGAAATCTAACTGCACAGAATTTTTAAAATCAAATTCTCAGTTAAATTTACACCTTAATTATGCAACAAAAATAACCTTCACTGATAATTCAGTGTACTGTAGGCACACACTGTTGCTACATTTGTAAGCCAAATTTGAATCTAACCCAGACTAATGGGAGGAACATCTTTAATGATTGCAAGAGTTCAGATGTTAAGTTATCTATGTTATAGATAAATCAACTTCACTCCCAGTGATAAATAAAAGAGCTAATGAGCAAATAATTAATTAGTGTAAAAATAAAAGCAGGAGTTGACAAGGCCAAAGCAGTGGATGTGACGTAAATAAACCTACAAGATCCTACACAATTGACTCAGACAATGGTCAGAGAAAATTGAATCAGGCACCAAGTCACAAATGGATTGAAATAAAAATGATCGAAACTTTTTGGACAAATAAAAAGTGGCAAATAGTATTCTGAAAGCAATGCTAATGAAGCACTGTTGTTTACCATAAACACAAATCATTAGTATTAAGGAACTGGATGTACAATTTTGAAAAATTGCAGGTAATAGTAATTCAGAAATACAGATAATAATGTAGTTGACTGCAACAAAATGTGATACATAAATATATTGCAGTGAGGGTAGTTAAAAAGGAAATGGAAATTAAACCCAGCCAAGCAACTGATACTTCACTTCAGCATCAAGATTAAAGAGACTACTTTTCCTTGAAAGGTAAGAAACTAAAATGGGGTGCAGGGAACAAGGGATCTGGGAAGACACATGCATACATCATAAAAAGAAGCAACGCAAATAGAAAAGGCCATGAAAAATGCAAAGTACTGGGGTCCATTTCTAGAGGAAGAGAAACAAAAAGGGGGGAGGTGATTTAAGTTTATAAAGAACATCCATTAAACTGCATTTGGAGTATCATATGCTGTTCTGGCCTGCAGACTACATAAAGGATAATGAAGCAATCGAGAAAGTGGAGGAAAAAAAATTATAAAAGGATGTTACCAGACTTGACAGGATGCAAGATCAAGAAAGAGGATTAAGGCTCTTATCTCTGAAAAGGAGAACTGATAGATAAAATTTATGAAACATTCACATGGAGTGTATGTAGAGAACTGACTTTACTACGGGAAAGTCCAGAAGAAAGGAGCATAAATACAAAATAGTCTGTACCAGCTTAGCAAAAGTTTATTTGCATAAAGAGAGGCTAGAATGTGGAACTTGCTGTCACATGGATTGCTTGGAAGAGATAGTATTGATGTATTTAAGAGAAGGCTTGATGCATAAATAAGGGAGAAGGGAATAGAAGAATGCAGAGGGAAAATGTAAAGAGATTAAAAGGGAGACATAGACTTGAGTATGAACACCAACATAGATTAATGAGTTCAAAAACCCTGATTCTGTGTTGTATTCTATATAAACACAACATTATAAGATGTAGGAGCCAAACGGCCATTTGGCTAGAGTCTGTTTTGTCATTCGACAAAATCATAGATGATCAGATAATCCAAAGCATGACTTTCTTGCCTTTTCCCCCTTAAGCCTTGATTCCCTTACTAATTCAAATTCTGTTTATCTAGCCTTGAATATACTTAATGACCCAGACCCTACAGTCATCTCCAATAAGATTTTCACAGGTTCACTAAGCTCTAAGGGAAGCAAGTCCTCCTCATCTATCTTAAATGAACAACACTTATTCTGAGATTATGCCCTCTGGTCCTAGACTCTCACATGGGAAAGCAACTTTTCCGCATTTACCCTAACACAACCCCTAAGAATCTTGTATGTTTCAACAAAGGCTACCTCTCATTCTTCTAAATTCTAATGAGTACAGGTCCAACCAACTCAACATCATAAGAAAATCCATCCATGGTCAGGACCAACCTCCTCTGGAATGTCTCCAATGGCAGTGTACCTTTCCTTAGATAAAGGGACCAAAACTGTTCACAGTATTCTTGGTCCATCTGACCATGGCTTTGTACAGTTTTAGCAAGACCTCTATGTTTCATTCTCTTTGAAACAAAGGCCAGGATTCCATCTGCCTTCCTATACTTGAACACCAGCTTTTTGTGACTCACATACAGGGACTCCAAATTGCTCTATGCTACAGCATTCTGTAGTAGTTCTCCATTTAATCCTTGTAGTCTTATTGCCACATTTTCCAACATTTTCCACATTATATTCCATGTACCAACTTTTTTTTCCCACTCACTTAACGTGTCCATGTTTTGCTGATTCTGTGTAATCCTCATCAATTGCCCTTTCATCTACTCTCTGTCATCTGCAAATTGGAAATCTACATTCACTTCCCTCATCCAAGTCATTAATATAAAGCTGTAAATAATTGCGGCCCCAACATTGATCTCCGTGTTACTCCACTAATTACTGGTTGTCATCATGAAAATTCACTCCCCAATTCAATCCTGTTTTCTATTAGTTAGTGAATCCTCTGTCCATGCGGATACACTACCTCCAACACCAAGGCTCTTATTAAGTAGCCTAATGTGTGGTACCTTTTCTAAAGCACTCAGAAAAACCAAATGCATTGCATCCACTTCTTGTCCTTTATTTATCCTGTTTGTTACCTCCTCAAAGAATTCTAAAGAACTTGTCAGGCATTATTTTCCACTTCATGAAACCATGCTGACTCCACCTTATTGTTTGTAAATGCTCTGTTATTCCATCCCTTTATAATAGATGAGAACATTTTTCCATTAACATATGTTAAACTAACTGGCCTAGTTAAAAATCTCCTTCCCTTTTTAAGTAAAGGCATTACAGTGCCAGATTTCCAATCCTCTGAGACTTTTCCAAAACCTAAGGACCCCTGGTAGATTACTACTAGTGCATCCACTATCTCTGTAGCTACTCCTTTTAAAATCCTAGATTGCAACCAATCAGGTCCAGCCAACTTATCACCAGTAGCTCCATTAGTTCCTTTTTATTGTTTCCTCCTTTAACAGTTATAATATTTATTTCCACATAGTTTTTATTTCCAACTTGCACAGTAAACAAATGTGCTTGGGCCCTATTTACGATGTTGTTGATAAGGCTAATCCTATAGCACATAGAACCATAGGAATCCAGATGCATATGTTGACCAGGGAAGGTAGATTTGTCAGTGACTGTAGCAGAGATCGTTTAGGCAGATTTCTCAACTAGGACATCAAGGATTTTAGTGGAGTCGGATGCAGTGATGTTAGCCAAATTGTGGCTAGACTTTCTTGGTCCTAAATAGCTGTATTGGCTACCTCTAGTGATTATTTATTCATTTAGTAATTTGTATATGTTACAAGTGCATAAATGCAGAGATAAAATATGACTTATTGAAAGGAAGACGGTTGTGGTTGCTAGAAGTCAATTATCTCAGTAACATTACAGCAATGCATAAGTTTCTCAGGCAAGTGTCTTACTCCCAGCCATCTTCAACTGCTTCATTAACTCCATCATGTGTGTGCAATGTTCAACATCAGTGTAGATTCTTCAGATGAAAAGCTTTGCCAAAATATGTCATTTCTCAGCAATATTCAAGTTCTATATACCAAACAACTACTAGAATGTGTAAGTAGAAGGCAGGATGGTGTTGGGAGAGGAAAGGGATAACGAGGAACATTATTAAAATTTTTGGGTTGACTTTGTTTGAGGAACAACCTACTTTGAAAATTACACTGAAATTGACAGATTAAAAAGATAGTCAATTTCACGATACATTGGAAGCTTCACTTCTTTTTTAATCTTTCCAGGATGCTAGCTTCAGTTTTTCTATTCTGAGCCTTGGAAGTGAACACCATTGTTTTTCTGATGTAGTTCAGCTGGACAGCGAATTTATTTAGTAAAATATGAAGGTGCTTCTGTTGCTCCACCAAAAAATACACAGTAGAATAAAATAATATACAAAAAGCTAGGAGATATGCAAATGGACCTGAATGTCACGATGAACTGAATAATGTTTTGTGCTCTTATCTCCTTAAAGTCCAAATAGCAACAGCGGCAGTGCTAATTTCTGTTAAGAAACAGCTAGCAAACAATTTCAACAGATGTGGTAAAAGCCCAAATACATGAATCAATGTCACCTACAAGAAAGCCTTATCACCACCTTCTACTTAACATCAGTGCAGTCACAGTGACATAATTTCCCCTTGTATTGAAAACAGGATAACCCTTTCATTACCTGATCATTTTTTAACGATGGAAATCTATTGAGCATGAATGTGGTGGTAAACACAAATACTGAACTTCACACTGAAAACGTTTTCATGATTCTTATTTAAGACTAATCAATTATATTATATCACAGTTTCCTTAGATCTTTGCTCCCGGGTCAACAGCACAGTGACAAGACATTTCCCCACCTCCCCAAATCTGACAAAGGAGAGAAGTGCCTGGGAGGTCAGGTTTTCATTCTCTAGTTCCTCAGTAGCTGGGTCAGGAACCTCAGAACATGAGCAGACGCTACTGATTGGGTGCTTCCCTGCTGTTTAATAAAATATAATGAAGCTCTCACTCTGTCCCTGCCCATGATCATGTCCTATCCAAACCACCCTCATGCCCCCCACCTACCCAATCCTATGGGCCCTCACAACTGCATGCCAGCAATGAATTTATGCATTTTATATTCACAAGCACGTCTACTTTTAGCAATCCCAGAGGGTACCTAACCTCCAAAGTGCAGTTTATCTCTCCAAAGGCATCCTGGGATCAGATCCAAAAGGGGTACCTTATGTCTCTAAATGGGTATCCAAGCTTTCTAAACAAATCCACAGGATTCAGACCTGGTCCAATCTGTATATCTCATAACTCAGACACTTCACGCACCATTTATCACACTGGACTGGAGGAAGCTGATGAGTAAATTAGCTAGCTCCCTCCATAAACTGTGCTGACAGATTTTTATTCAAGGGAATTGGGGGCTATGGCAAAAAGGCATGAAAGTGGAATTAAAGATGTTCAAATGTGCCAGAATCTCATAAATGGCAGAGCAGACTCGCTGGGCTGAATGGCCTACTTCTGCTCCTACGTTTTTATGTTTATGGTCTGCATGAATCCCAAGCAGATTATTCTCACCTCCACAGATATGAAAAATGCTGTGTGAAGATGGAACCTGGATTTTCAAGGACCTCTGCTATTTTTGCCACACCAGATAACCTCTACAATATTATGAAAATCTGGAACTCCCTGTTCTAATTTCTTTTACTTTCCCACTCTTTAAATTTTCATTGCTCCTTTTGTTTTGTCCCATCCTTTCCTGGTCATTCTTTCCTTTTCCCACACTTTTTCATCTCATTAGATTACAAATAGAAATCAAACATGAGAAACATCAAATCTGACAATCAATTACCATCATTGGTTTGAAACAAATAAATTCGGGTGCTATTAATGCTTTCTAGCACACTACTGTGAATCAGTTGTATCCACAGTTAAAAGTGGGGCGGGGGGAAATCATGGGTAGTTTGCAAATGCCAATGTATCAACCTGATATCAGATACTTTAATCTGGAGGAATAACAGATATCTAGAGGCAAGGTTCTGCATTAACTACCTGTTGAAAAGCTCTATTGGCTGAGGCCTGGAGCTTGTTGTTTACATCTCTTGTAGGAATTGCCATGGGGGAAAATCAAACAAGGGAGGAAATAAAACTTTTTGGGAATATCAGCAAAGTAGAAAAGAAAATCTCAATCTTCTGAAAGGGAGAAAGAGACAGTGGCATAAACAGACACTGGAAAGTAAGTTGGATATTGCTCAAACTATGAAATGAAACAAAGGATCACAGAGGCCTGTCCAAGTACAAGTATTTCTAGCTATGGCCATCATTTTGTTTAACCCATTGAGTTGGTTTATAGCCAGATAAAATTTCTGTAAAGTGTTTAAAAATATTTCATCCAGTCATGAGATACATGAAGAAGAACAGAAGTGTACAGAAGCAGCGAGTTGGGGGAGGGAATGGGAATGTGATAATTCAAGTGGCAGGAGGTTTATGTACACTCAGTCCTCATATTCCACTGATTTGCTTCCCACAGATCTTTGTGTTTTTATTCATTCATGAAACGTGGGCGTCATTGGCTATACCAGCATTTATCGCCCATCCCTAATTGCCCAGAGGCACGGGTTAAGAGTCAATCACCTTGTTGTGGGTCTGGAGTCACATGTAGGCCAAACCAGGTAAGGATATCAGCTTCCTTCCCTAAAGGATATTGATGAACTAGATGGGTTTTCCCCCGACAATTGGCAATGGTTTCACAGTCATAATTAAACTCTTATTTCCAGGTTATTATCAAATTCAAATTCCACCATTTGCCATGGCAGGATTCAAACCCAGATCCCCAGAATATTACCTGGGTTTCTAGATTAATAGCCTCGCGACAATACCACTAGGCCATCACCTATCCTTCTATTGATGAGGAAGAGTCTGAAATTCCCATCTGGATGCCAAGAAAATGGCAGAAATCAAGAAAGAATCAAAAGCATTGATGTATTTATTGTCTAAATATAATAGGGATATAGAAAATGCCTTGACTCCTTATGCAGAAAATTATAACGAATTAAAGAAAAAGACATCACAGCACCCCGAATGATGTCCTCTACAAAGGCCAAGCCAGCCAAAATATTACACACCCATCTCTATCTCCAGCTGTTAAATAGCTATCTTTAAGTACACCCTCAGCTCACCTTCCTGAAGATTACTCAATTAAAGACACACGCATTCTTATGACGTTTTTTGTAGTGTTTTGTTAACTAATAACGCATATTAATGTTTTTAGGACAGTATAGAGCATATTTATGTTTATTTGGGGTGTATTGGGTACTTAGGAGAGGGCCTTAGTGGTATTTTCATTTTTTGTTATCTGTGGGAAATCTGTATCCCGACCCCCAATGGATAACGAGAACTGAGTGTACACTAGAAAAACTAGTATAGCTCAGTTAAGCTATGAAGCTAAATGGTCTGTTTCTATGAAGTTCAATGCAGGAAACATACTGATTAAACTCATTAATGTATGAGCCTGCTTTTGTTTCATATTTTTCTTAAACTACACATACATTATAAAAGGAAGTGGCTGCTATGCAAGCAGGTTAATTGAATTGTGCAGCAAAGTTTTCCAAAATCATCAGTTTTGGCACTTACCTCCTTTATGCACAGCTGTACACCTTCTGGCTGATTGGTTTGAAGGACTTCCACAACAATTGGGGCGATAACTGAACTCAAACCACTAATCTGAAAATTTAAGACACAAGAAAAAAAAAACTGTACACCTTAACTTAATATGTGCAAAATATCTAATGTACAACTCTAAAATAAATTATGCAATATGCTATAAGTACACATTATAGGTAAAGGATGCCTGGTACTAATTCAATGAATGAATTAAAATTAATTTGCAAAGAACAATGCTGACCACAGAGACTTTTAACACTTCTGCACATGGCATTATAATTTATTTATTCATTCATTTATTTATTGTCACTGGTATTTTGTTACAAAATACAGTGAAAAGTGTTATATAGTGTCACCATTCACCGGAGTCATCTTAAAACACAGAAAAACAAACCAAAACAAAGGCAGAAAAATAAAGAAATACAGAAATAGTGTTCAGTTTACAATCCTTCTTGTTAAGTGCTCCGTCATGGGCCTGGTGGCCAGCCACAAGTCCTCTTCACTGCGCCATCGCCGCTGGAACAAGACTTGCCACTCTTCGGCACCATCTCACCTCCACCAACGCCCCCGCCACTATGAGCCCCCTTTGTCTCATTGATACAGAAGCACTGAGCTCACTTTGAGTCTGCACTGGGCCCACTCGCCCCAAGTCGACAATGGGCCCGCTTGCCGACCAGCACAAGTCTGTGCTACGCTCACTCGCCACCAATGCCGTCCCCGTGACCAAGTTCTTCAACAAGAGCGAAGTAAAAGAGAAAATAAAAGAGAAAAGAAAAAAAGAAAAAAATCCAAAAATGTTCCAAAGTATAAGTTCCAAAGGTTTGCAGAGTGGCAGTGAGCTTAGCAGTATTAAGGATTAATGTGTCGTTAATAATGTGGTGACACCTGAATGGACAAGGCTTTACATTTTCTATCATGATAAGTGAGTAAGTACTGTAACTTCACAGCTATCCTGTGTTTAACTGCCAAGATATTCAGTGATGTACCAGCATATCAAAGCCTTTACAGAAGTAGAGCAAATCAGGTAGCAATATCTATCCTTTTGGGACTAGCTGCACATCTGCAGAAGCCAGAATTTGTAAATGATTTACGCCTTAATACAGCAGTTACCTTCGATACCATGCACAGTGGCTCAGTGGTTAGCACTGCTACCTCACAGCGCCAGGAACCCAGGTTCAATCCCACCCTTGGGTAACTCTCTGTGTGGAGTTTGCACATTCTCAGTGTGTCTATGCTCCGGTTTCCTCTCTCAGTCCAAAAATGTTAGGTGGATTGGCCATGCTAAATTGCTCATAGTGTCCAGAAATGTGCAGGCTAGGCGGATTAGCCATGAGAAATGCAGAGTTGTAGGGTAGGGATGTGGGTCTGGGTGGGATGCTCTTCAGAGTGTTGGTGTGGATTTGATGGGCTGAACGGCCTGCTTCCATGCTGTAGGGATTCTATGATTCTCTATGATCCCTGTGCAAAATCCAGACCATTGAAAACAGTTTTCGAAATAGCAAGGTTAAAACTCTTGGAATCATTTAAGAAAAAAAAAAAAAATCGGTTGCTGAAATGGAGTGGAGAATCTCAAAGATACTGTGGATGGATCCATTGTGAAAGGCCTAATCTTTGTCTTCAATATTTATCTTATCATATTGTTACTGCACTTCTTAACTGTCCTTAGAGGTCTAAGTGACCATATTCATAACCCGGTGTGTTTCATAGGATTCCAGTAGGTACAAAGGGGATTGTTAAGACAAATCAGCATTTAGAATGTTCTGCTGAAAACAGGACAGCATATAGCATACAGAGATAACAAGGTGTAGAGCTGGAAGAACACAGCAGGCCAAGCAGCATCAGAGGAGCAGGAGGCATTTCTGAAGAAGGGCCTAGGCCCGAAACATCAGCGTTCCTGCTCCTCTGATGCTGCTTGGCCTGCTGTGCTCATCCAGTTGTGTTCATCCAGCTCTACACCTTGTTATCTCAGATTTTCCAGCATCTGCAGTTCCTACTATCGCTGAAGCATATAGCAGACACTTGTGTTTTGGGTGACACAGGGACAGCAAGCCAAACCAAAATCAGACTTGCCAACACTGGACATTGCAACTCAGTTAAACTAAAATATTCAATGACCCTCAAAATTGCTTAATTGTCCCTAACCATACTTTACAAATAACAGACATCAAGTTTACAGCTTAAACAGAAATTAACAATTTGCTATCACTACTATAACTTTAGTGGAGCAAAGTTAAGCAAGGTAATCAAATTAGTCTATATGACTTAAACCCAATACTCTTCGATCGTAAACTCACACTCACGCACAAAGACGGACAAACAAAGCTAAGAAATATATTGAACAGTTGCAACTGGGCAGATCACTTAAGCAGTTTTGAACCATGTTTACTAAACCTTCATGCAATCCTTGGAAAATGAGTTGTCCGTAGGCATGTGGGACTTTCTATTCTGCTTAACTTCTGAAGTCTCTGGTCAATGCAAACAGCTTCTGCAGACTGCTGGGGACTTTTACTAACGTCTTACTGAACGCTGAACATGTAACAGTACAGCACAGAAACATGCCCTTCAGCCCACCATGTCTAAATGTCTTTTGCTGGGGTTCTTTTAGATTTTTTAATAATTTGATAGCTGGATATAAACTAGAGAGCAACCAAAACTCCTTGCAGCAGCTTTCACAGGCACACTGCCTTCTGCCTAACAAAATTCAGTCCAATCTTTGGTATCTCTTTCTCTTTGTTCAACATTCAGTTTGTTTGACTGGCTGGCACTGGCCTCCCATTTATTGTAACTTTTAACATTCAAGCAACTGCCAGTCCTCGAGCATAATATGTCTCATGTGCCGAAATGCCTACAGTGTTTTTAGAATAATAATTAACCTGGCCAGTTTCCATAAACAAATCAATTTGTTTGTTCTTTCCATATTTTAAAAAGGACAAGATGCTGTTCATAAGAACATAAGAACTAGGAGCAGGAGTAGGCCGTCTGGCCCTTTGAGCCTGCTCCGCCATTCAATAAGATCATGGCTGATCCTTTCGTGGACTCAGATCCACTTACCCACGTTCTCATCGTATCCCTTAATTCCTTTATTGTTCAAAAAAAACTACCTTTTTTTTAAAAACATTTACGGAAATAGCGTCAACTACTTCACTGGGCAAGGAATTCCATAGATTAACAACCCTCTGGGTGAAGAAATTCCTTCTCAGTTCAGTCCTAAATCTGCTCCCTCTAATCTTGAGGCTATGCCCTCTTGTCCTAGCTCACCTGCCAGTGGAAACATCCTCTCTACTTCTATCTTATCTATTCCCTTCATAATTTTATATGTTTCTATAAGATCCCCCCTCAATCTTCTGAATTCCAATGAATATAATCCCAATCTACTCAGTCTCTCCTCATAAGCCAACCCCCTCACCTCTGGAACCAACCTAGTGAACCTCCTTTGCACCCCCTCCAGTGCCAGTACATCCTTTCTCAAGTAAGGAGACCAAAACTGCACACAGTACTCCAGGTGTGGCCTCACCAGCACCTTGTACAGCTGCAACATAACCTCTCTGCTTTTTATTTTAATCCCTTTAGCAATGAAGGACAAAATTCCATTTGCCTTCCTAATTACTTGTTGTACCTGCAGACCTACCTTCTGTGATTCATGCACAAGGACACCCAGGTCCTGCTGCATAGCAGCATGCTGCAACTTTTTACCATTCAAATAATAATCCTTTTTACTATTACTCCTACCAAATTGTATGACTTCTCATTTATTTACATTGCATTCCATCTGCCAGACCTTTGCCCAAAGTCCAAAGTTCAACATTCAACTTCAACTCACAGTTACAAACCAAAAATGAGAAAAATAAAGAAATAATATACAATATAATATATAATAAAAAAAAATGGTCCCAACAGTTGCTAGCTTGGGATTTCCTCTCCTTGCTATTTCACTGCTTCTCACACGCACTTGTTTTTCGCGGATGCTGAGCCAATTTTATAAGTGGCTGTTCCAGATGCTACGAGCCTACATGAACTTCTCCCAGGACTCAAAGTCGACATCAAAACTCCTAAATGAAGCTTCCAGTATCGTTGAAATGCTTCCTTTGCCTGTCATGCACTGCACTCAAGACTCAAGTTCTCCATAAGAGGATCTGCTCTGGTAAGTAAATGTCAAGTACTCTGGCTGCATGACCAGCCCAATTCAGCTGTGACTGGATGAATATGGTGTGGATGCTCGATTATCCGACTTGGGTGAGCATCTCTATCTTTTATTTTGTCCTGCAACCTAATCTGGAGAAGCTTCTGAAAGCAGCTCAAGTGAAAATGCTTGATCTTCTTGGCATGACCATTCATAGCTTAGGTCTCAGATTTAGATAGAATGGGAGGGACAATTGCCAACAGACTTTCAGTGATAGGCAGATTTATTCCTCTTCATTCACAGACTGACTAAATGAATGACCAAATTAGCTAGGTTTAAAAAAGGGCTGATCGTACAATTTAAAAAACATTGATTCAGTCTTATCATTAGACAACCAACTCCTATGCATCCAGCAACCTCTATTCTAAAATTGTTAAAATTTGTATTTAGAATCAACTTAAATCTTGACTCTCCTGGTACCAAGAGTGATAAGTCCAATTACTTTGAAAATTCCTGTTAAAATATAACTTGAACATACAACTTGTACCACTGAGTGCCTGAACAAAAATTCATGCTTACAGTTCCCATGTGGCATATTCCTGACGTAAGCATTTCCATACCCAGCATTTCCCAATGGCGAAGGGTTTAAAAATGTGTCCAGGACTATTTCTGTAAATCAACTGTTTAGAAATGGCTAAAGCACAGCCTAGGAGCAAGATTCATTTCTATCTTGTGCGCGAATTAGAAATTACATAGTGCAGGAGATGTTTTAAGTGAGGAAAAAGATCAACATTTCAGGATTGCAATTGGGAAACCAACAATACCTGTACAATTCTCTCATGACAGTGAATAACACCTTCCACATTCATCTTAGTTCCTTGTTCCTGCAACACGGAGATCTCAGTGGATTTGGTAGGCATTGCATAGCTGTGGGAAACAAATACAAAAGCACTTGTACATGTTATATTGTTTCAATAAAATTGAACCTACAAAATAAATAAAAGAACAGATATGAAAGGATTTGCATTAATACTGCTCATTCACTTTTTTGGGAGAAGCAATAAGAGTGAAAGACTTTTGAAGCATTTATGATTCTGTTTATGGCACAAGATGAGGGTGGATATCTGAGAATTTACAGTTTAATTCTTGATGTAGTTAAAAATGACAGTGTCTTAACCTTTACCTGACAGCTCGCTTACATCCATAACTCTCCCAACTGATTAATAGTTATGTTATCAGATTTCCAAAGGCCAGTCTTTGGTCCTCCATTTGCCACAATGGAATATCTTATTTTTTGTTTGGACCAAGTGTGAAGGTGGTGGGGGTGCTTAAAGCAGAAGGTATCTCTGGTGGGTTTTCATGTGTGATAACATTCTTCTCAGCTCAGTACATATTCATACACTGGCAGAAAGCCAGATTTTATGGACAAACTGAACAAAAATGACTATTTAGTACGAAGCAGTTAGACTCTAGCTGCAGGCAAACAGTTATAAACCATCAGTACATAACACTACTCATTAAAACTCTAATTCCCTTATAAATTCCTCATTACGTGCACACAGGAAAAAATACATAGGTGGAGCGTAAACTGGAAAAGCAGTTCTGTAGTCTTTTTTCTGTAGAGTTGGCTCTTGCTGATCAGAAGATTTCTTCTTGGCTTTGCTTTTCCAAATGCTTCCACTGGTTTGCAATAGGTATAGCATGGCTGGTTCACTTGTGAAAGATTTCTGATGCATTAAATAAAAGTTAAAGCTTACTGCAAACGAAGGAAAGAAACTGCTTTTCTTCAGCTTTAAAGTAGCGTACTGCAGAGAACGGGGAGACAGCTCCTGAGACGGAGAAGATTTAATCACTTTTTTCTCTGTCTTGCTCCCAGCCCCAAGTTGTCCACTTAACTAACAGCCAATTATATAGTTGCTGTCAGGCAAAAGGCCTTTGTCATCCAATTCCATCTTGTCTACAGCCTAAATTTTATTACTTCTCATTTAAGCAGCGTTTAAACCAAGTTTGACATGAGTGTCAGGTTATTTGCTTTTCAAAATATGCAGCAAACTTTGCAAAACACTGATTTTAGAAACAGTTCCCTCTCATTTCAACCCACAATTTTAAAAAAAAGCAAAAAAACAGACACTGTCTTTACACTGGCTACTCAACGTTTCAGGCTCCTATGAGCGTGAGTTAACATTACAAGTTTATCACTACAGTGGACTGTCATATAAGACTGGGGGTCAGGCATCTCCATCAGATGCCTCATGTATAATCAATGTTTGTCACTTCATTCCAGCTAATCATGCAAAAATGCCTCTGACACTGCCTCAATGCACCACTCAATGATGCTGGAGACCCTGTTACCTTCTTGACATGCTGCTTGCTTGTGCATAGTCATGGCCCTGTGCTTAGTATCTGTGGCTCTGTTGGTCTCTGTTGGTGCTACTCACCATGTTGCTTCACCTCATTATTCATCTCAACCTTACTGAAAACTCACACAGCTGTTGGTTTAATGTGGCTGAATATCTGGTAAGTATTGATCAGTGAAGAAGTATCAGGAATGAGATGCATGTTTGTCCATTTGAGATCTTGACAGTCAAGCTACACTATGGGTCCTTAGCAGACGGCTCATGTGTTGGGTGAGATCCTGTCTACTGACACCTCTACATGGTGAAATGCATCCTCTATGACTTATGACTGGTTTTCCTCTTCCTTATTCTGTCACGGGCAAGACTTTTGTGGACTTGATGCGTACATTATGTTAACTCCCTTCCTAATGGCATTGCTGCTCTACCTACAGCTCATGGACTGCAGCTGTTCAAGAAGACTGCTCCTCATCACCTTCTCCAGGAGCGGGCAATAAATGCTGGGACGAGTAATAAATGCTGGCCAAGTCAACAATGCCCACATCCCATGAGTGATTAATAAAACCGGTACATGCATGGAAAGCATGGTGGCCTCCATTAACCCCTGCCATATAGCCCTACTACATTTTGAATCTTCAACCTGCAAAACAGTTTTATCCCCATGTTCTTAACTTTTGTATACATGGTGCTGTGAATGCTCCTGCATGGCTGCATGTGGAATAATCACCCCAGCACCATCACCACTACTGCTGATTTAGATTCCCTTCTTGTCAAACGTTAATGAATCATAAAACATGGTTGCAATGTTGTTTGGAGCTATAAAAGCTCACTCACTTAGTTTGCTTCCTATCAATATAACATCTTAATAGTGCTCATGCAATCATGTTCCATTTCTGTTTTGAATACCTTAGTTGGATGTGTTCATGCTATGGAGGAACACATGCAAATAGGTCTGGGGGTCTCCCATTTGTACTGCACATTCTCTGTGAGGCCTTTGTCAAAATATAATTTTGAGAAAGGCTGTGCTTGTGTCCTTTCTTTTAATCTTTCCCTCTAGCCTCCTCCTCTAGGATTTACTTTCCCCTGCTATAACTAGTTTTCTCTGGCATCCCCTTTGAGATTATCAGCCCTTTCACTATCACCTTTGATATTCTTCTCCAATCCCACCCTGATTAAATTCCCCATTCTCAGCCTTATCTTACCAATTCTTTTATTCAGTTCACCAGCTCGTTCTCCCTCCCCAACAAAATTAATTGCCACACTGTGTTCTCCACCTTTAACATGCAGCTCCCAATCTTTCTTGTTCCCTTTGTCCAAATCAATGCGATTCTCCCGCTATTTCCCAGTTTGCTTCCTCCATTTCCTAGAATCCTTCCAATGTCCCTGATAACAATGCCCTTTAAATTTCATTCCTGACTGTTCTTTTTAATCCAGCCCATCTTTCTGAGAACCTTTTCAATTTAGTCCCCTTTCCTGTTGAGACTTCTAATTGGTACAGTGCCCTTTTCATTTCGTACCCCTTTTCAGGTGAAGCCTGCTTGCTTGTTCTAGACGGGTTCACTGGTGGAAGCCAGTGTGGCTACCTAACTTGGAAAGGCTGGTAGGTCTGATCAATCTTCAGCCCTTACACAGTAAGTATTTTAGTACCACAAATGACTGAACTTCTTGTGAGCTGATTCACTAAGTGAAGCTTCATCACTTATACGATAAGCACTTGGGCAAAGAAATGACTTGGTATGAAGGAGCCAAGTAATGGAAGAGGTTTGTACTCACTGAAACTGGAAGAAACAAGTTTACCCCACCAGGTACACACTTCATATTCACACTTCAGTTCAACACATGTTTCCTGATTTTTGCTAACAAGATTGCTGTTAGCAAAACAGCTGTGAACATAATTTCAGTGGGCTGGGTGTTCATGACATTCCAATGAATTAAAAAAAAGGTCCCTGAACATGAAGGTCAGGAAAGCCAACCTGCCTGAGAGGTTGTGAGAATTAGATAGAAAAACTTTACCACCACTGGGAAATAGAAATTTTACTTCCCACCATATTTCTATGCGCTCCCTACCAAAAACTCCCAATAGGTCCAGAAGATTCCAGCCAATATTTTTGCAGTAATCAAAATTTTCAACTGTACCCTTAAAGTCCACCTTTGATATCCCAACCTCCACTGTCCTCTCTTTGAAGATCTCATCAAAATCAAACTCTGACCAGCTGTTGCTTTCTTTCTTGGTTCAACTTCAGTTTCTTTGATAACATTTGTCTGAACTACTTTTGTAACTTTATCTATGTTAAAAGCAACGCAAAATGCAAGTTGTAATTGATAGCAGATATCATTTCACACTGCTCTTCACCTTTCCTCCACTTTGATCTTCAGTCGATTGCAGAGCCGGTGTATGTACTGACTATAGTGTTCTACAAGTGTCATATCATAGCCAGTCAGTTGGATATTTAAGACACCATATTCTGTGTCAGTGCCAGGCTTGAGCTGCTTCATCTGTAGCTTCTCTCTTTTCTTCCGTGGCTGTTGAAAATATCACAGTCAAAATCTTAAAATAATTGCCACTAAAACTTAAACATAGTCAAAATCATGATAGCTTATTGCATTGGAACAGGAGTAGGTCATTCAGCACCTTGAGCCTGTTCCACCATTCGATGAGATCATGGATAATCTTTGGCCTAATCCAGTTTGTTTTTATGCACTCATGGGATATTGGCACCACTGTCTGGGCTAGCATTTATTGCCTATCCTGAGCTGGCCTTGAGAATATGGTGTTATACCTGTCTTTGGACCATATCCCTTTGGTTAACAAAAATTTACCTACATCCAATTCAAATTCACACCTGATCCTACATATACCGCTGTTTGTGGTAGACAGTTCCAAACATCTACATGTGTGTCTGTGGGATGTGTTGTACAGGGATATTCCAAACCTCAAACAGATAAAATCTTTCACAGAGAACTATAAGTTTTGATACAATATCCTGGATAAACCCTCTAAGCCAACATCAACATATTTAGGGTGCCCTGGTTGGTTCAACAATGGAAAGCTTCCTTAAGATAGCAATTTGTGCAGTTTAGCTGGCTAACCGCCGAAAGCATGTTTGTTGCACACTTAGTGCTTTCAAAGTCTTCACTGCTCCAAAGATCAGTAATGAAGTAGATCATGTTCATCAGGGGAAGAAATGCACATCACAGACTGAAAGTGAGTTGGCATGTTCTCTGCTTCAATCACTAAACAAGGTAATGCATTTCACAGCCTCTTAATCCTCCGTTCAAAATAACTGCTTAGTTGGTTTCTATGTGCAGACACCAAGAGGGTAGGGAGGGCCATGAATATTGCTGAAGTTGCAGAATTGTATATAAACTCAACTAAGAAGCCTGGGTGTCAGAAATGAAGGTGGGACATCCATATCTGGATTCCATCTGCCATTTAATCACTCCACAAAAATCTGCACCATATAATCTAAGTATAAACTCAGAGACTATGTCATTATCTGCAACAATGAACACCCTAAACCGTCTACTCAGTAACACAATCTGGACCTGTTGGCCAAAACCAATTGACAAGCAGACTTCAGAATAGGTCATATGACTCCAACCATTTTACATTAAAGACAGTTCCAAACCATAAGAAGTTTGTTAACCTCATAACTTCACAAAGCTCCTGACTTGTATACTAACACCTGAAGAAGGACCAAGGCTCCAAAAGCTTGTGTCTTCAAATAAACTCGTTGGACTGTAATCTGGTGTTGTGAGATTTCTTACTTGTATACAGGTCAAATGTTACTAATCACTAACTCTGCAACTGCTATTCATGTCAGGTCAATGGTTATTTATTAAGTCTATGATGCAAAACGTTAAGTATCAATAGCAACATAAACTCCAAATAAAATTTCTATATTGTTCCTCTAAGGGTCAGTGTACTTCCTGGTATGAATCTGAGCCAGATACCTCAGGAAGATTCCTTGTATAATCGCTGATCGATGCTGAATTAAATGATCACAGTCAAGCTGTGAATTAACAAGCACTATAACTGACCTCAAAACTGCAGAACTGGGAAGGGAACAAAAAAATTCAATGACGTTTTTGTTCATGATCAATAATTCCTGTTCAAAAGCTCATGCAAATTTATAGACATTGGGTGTAAATAAATTTAAGTTGCTGTGATAGAAAAACTTATCAACTCTGAATTAAGTATCTGAGGCAGGAAATAGCCTCAATATCAATGGAAAATATCACAGCTGAAAGCTGAAATAAAAGCAGAAAATGCTGGGAATATGCAGGTCAGGAACACCTGTGGAGAGAAACAGAATTAACATTTCAGTTCAGTGTCTTCTAGGTTTTGGTGCAAGGTCACAGTCCTGAAATGTTAACTCTGTTTTCGGAACCTTACTGCGTGCAAACTGCTTGCTGCACTTCAAAACTAAAATTGCACTTCAATTATACTTAAGTGGCGATAAATAGCTTCAGCACATCCTGAGGTTGTCAAAGGCACTAGACAAATGCAAATTCCAATATTTGTGAGAATAGAAAATTTGAAGGACAAAATAAAGACCCATTCTTGATAATGACATTATGTAACTGAGTCATGTAGAAGGCACCCTTGTGTGGATGTCAGGTGAAAACGCAATTAGAACTGCGCACAATGCCCTTCATCCAAATTGGCAGTTGGCATGCAGTCTAGAGTGACTCAGGGAGATAACAATACCTGGAAGGCTGCTGGAGCAATGGTGAGATTTTAAGAGTTCAGTCTTTTGGGAGAGAAAAGAAGAAAGTGGCAGTAAGTTAAGGAAGGGAAAGAAAATAAGTCAACACCTGATTTGAAAAATTAAGTAGTTATCATAAAATTCATTTATTTAAATCTAAGTTGATTGGTGAATTTTGTGATTAATCGTCTCTGCTCTACCTCAGTGTTAAGTTTAATCCAGACACACAGAGAAAGCATTACTTACCACTTCTTTTGGCAGTAAGTATTTATACCTCCCGATCCCATGGGTAGGCATTGACCTGTAATGTCTCTTGCTGGCTAAGCTATTACCTGTGTACGCAGAATGCAGAATTTATTTGATTAAAATATATCACCAAGTTACACTCTGGAGATATCTCATCTCCCGGTAGCAGTAGAGGGTCAATACAAAATGGCACAAAGCAATTGAGACCACTCTCTAAAACACAAACAATAGTATGTTTGCACAAAAAAAAAATCTAACAGCCTTAGAATCTACTTGTTTCATTAATTCCCTAACATTTTTTGATTCTGTACTCTTGTCTAGGTGAACTTCATAATAGCCTAAAAATTTTACCTGGATATCATGTACAGGTTAATGTAAATATGCAAACATTAAACAAAGGAGTGGATGAAAGGCAAACCATGAACATTGAAAATCCGATTCATAAACAAAAATAAATCCTAACATACCCAATGCTTCAAATGGTGTCTGACAGTGAAAAAGGTAACCTAATATTTTGGATGGAATTCCATCAGAATTGAACGTTTATTTGGTGGCTACTATAGTTCTACAGCAGTGTAATACAGCTTTGAAGCTAGTTAAAACATAAAATAGATTTCTAACAATACTTAAACATGTTTGTTAATGGATAAGTTAACAATTTGGGGATGGACAAATCATAACTAGCAACTAGAAGGTGGCTAAGCTTCTTTATAAGAGCAAAAACACAGGAGGAATGGGTAGAACAGCAGGAGTCTGGTGCTCTAGCTCCTATCACTACAATGCACAAAAATGACAACTAACAAAATAATTTTGTGATGGTGGTAACAAAGGTAAATGTGAGAATTAGGTAAATGGGAAAAACTGAAGTTTAAACCTTAAATGAGTGTTCTGCCAAGAGGGATGCAGGGAAGCTAAGCAAACTCAGGACAGAGATTGAAATACATAATTGGCTTCACTGGAATGATGCAGGGGGCCAAGAAGAAAATGCTAAATAGGAATAGTAAAATTGAATTACGTGAGTCACAGCATGGTCAGACAGAACAGTGATGCTCATCAAATTGATCAACCAACCTTTGTTTGATCAACTTAGTGCAAATCAAATTATCATGGGGCAACATAGTCGAGGAGAAATCATACTAACATTTCCATCTTGCCAGGTTCCACGTGCTGATGTCCACTGAAATCTGACTTCTATCAGATAGGCAGACCAACAATAAAAGAGCACAAAAACCTACATCTTTCCCTTGCCAATTTCTTTCCACCCGAATGTCTCTGAATATCATAAATCATTTCCAGTGTAACATGGTATAAGCCACTCCAAAACCATTGTCAATAGATCCGGCACGCTAACAAATGGAATGAGCAGCTTAGTCTGATTCAGCTCCCTGATGCACACTGGCCTCAACAATGCAACTTGTGTTGGACCTTTGTTGTGGAATTGTGAATTATAAAACCATACCAAGTCTCCAAGCAACAAACAAGTATACTTTGTGGTTTTCACAATTATTTTTGGAAGTGCAATAAACCCAATTAAAATCAAATGTGAAAATGGAGAAATGCAGAAATTTACTAAGGCTCCTTAGTCTGCAAATTGCAAAGCTGCAACAATTACCATGGGAACAGTGCCACCTGCCAATTTCCCTCCAAGCCACGCACCATTCTGACTTTGAGCTATGTCTCCATTCCTCTACTGTTTGTGTCAAAATCCTGGAACTTCCTTCCTGACAGTATTGTGGATGTACTTGCACCAAATGGATTGCCGTGGTTTGAGGAGGCAGTTCACCACACCATCTCAAGGGCAACTAAGCAGGGGTAATACATGGTGGCCCAGCCTGTGAAGCCCACATTCCCTGAATGAATACATTAAAATGCTTAAAAAGAGTTGCATTCTTCAGATTGGAACTAAGTTGGTTATTAGGTATTAGACCTGAAATGCCTCATCTAACCCAAACATTTCCATGCAAAGTTAAATTTAAGATCACAGTTGGTGGTAGATAATGACAGAATACATTTTGAGTATTATTTACACGACTTGTTAATTGGTTCCATAGCTGAATTATTCTCCCTGCTGTTCCGAATCTGAGCGCTCACTCCAGAGAATATGTTACATCTGTATGTGCATTATTGTGGTTACATTACTTTCATTCACTCTTTTCCCAGGAGTTAAGTACATCAGAAGTTAAATTAGCATCTCAGTGGTTACTTACCAGACATTAACAGTCCTGTTGTCACCACTGTAATGTCATCTTGACAATAAAGCACTAAACTTTAATGCTCTTTTTAAAAAAGATTTTGGGCGACAATGCTCAAAACAGTGCATGTTCCGCTCCCTGCCCCTCTCTCCCTCACACACACACAAACATGCACAGGAATCAGATCACTTGTGGTTAAAACAACTACTTTTAATCAGTCAGGGGTGTTTTTCCCAAAAAGACCTCATGTCTGCTCTTTGTTGCTCATCAGCTTAGGTTACACATTTTCTTCTGTGGGTTTAAAATCAGATCCAGTTATATATTTCAGGTAATCTACACATCTTGGAGCAGACAATCGAGTCCTGCCCTTACGCAAATCAAACATGATCACTGATACTCCTTAGCTATTCAGTTGAGGTAATTGGTCGAAATGAACACTGTCTACTGAACGGTTCCCTTTCACATGTTATTTCCTGGATGAATTATTTTCAAGATTTAATCAATGAAGAATGTCTCCTTATGAAATACATGCCGGCTGCTGTTCTCAGTTAACTGAACGAATGATAATTTCAACCTTAACTAAAGGTTCTAACAAATTGTGTCTACTGCAGACATGTAATTACCTGGATTAGGTTTATGTCCCTTCTGAAAAATCTAGTCTCTGCATTATTTCATAAATCTAGACCAAACAGCCTGAGGCCAAGCCTTTCTGAAGTATAGAAGTTCAGCTCAGTCAGTCAATCTGGCACATAAGGTGCAATGGATGGGACATTAATAGTGGCCTTCTGCAGTCTTTCCAAAACCTCAAATATCCTCGGGGAGAGCGAGTCAGGACATAATATTCTCACTGAGGTCTATTCAAGGTCTTATACAGAGATGAAATTTTGTTTTTACTTAAATTGTCTTGTGTGTGCAATCTAGAATACTGTTGTTTTAACTTCTCATCAGTGTCAACAAACCTTGAGAAAACTGATGGGCTGCAAACTCCAGACTTCTCTCTCACCACTGACTTCAATCTGTTTCCTGTAGGTTTTATGTATATTTAAGACCATAAGACATAGGAGCAGAAATTAGGCCATTCGGCCCACCGAGTCTGCTCTGCCATTCAATCATGGCTAAAATGTTCCTCAACCCCACTCTCCTGCTTTCTCCCCGTAACCCTTGATCCCCTTCATAATCAAGAACCTATCTATCTCAGTCTTAAATGTACTCAATGACCTGGCCTCCACAGCCTACTGTGGCAGTGAATTCCATAGATTCACCACTCTCTGGCTGAAGTAGTTTCTCCTTATCTCCGTTCTAAAAGGTCTTCCCTTTACTCTAAGGCTGTGCCCTCGGGTCCTAGACTCTCCTACCAATGGAAGCATCTTCCCAACATCCACTTTGTCCAGGCCATTCAGTATTCTGAAAGTTTCAATTAGATACCCCCTCATCCATCTAAACTCCAATGACTATAGTCCCAGAGTCCTCAAACGTTATAAGCTTTCCATTCCTCGTATGTTAAGCTTTCCATTCCTGAAACCATTCTTGTGAACCTCCTCTGAACCCGCTCCAGGGCCAGTACACCCTTCCTGAGATATGGGGCCAAAAACCGCATGCAATACTCCAAACGTGGCCTGACCAGAGCCTTATAAAGCCTCAGTAGTACATCCCTGCTTTTATATTCAAGTCCTCTCAAAGTAAATGCCAACATTGCATTTGTCTTCTGGACTACTGACTCAACCTGTAAGTTTACCTTGAGAGAATCCTGGACTAGAACTCCCAAGTCTCTTTGCACTTCAGACTTCTGAATTTTCTCCCCATTTCGAAAATAGTCCATGCTTTTATTCTTCTTACCAAAGTGCATGACCTCACATTTTTCAACATTGTACTCCATCTGCCACTTCTTTGCCCACTCTGCTAACCTTCCAAGTCCTTCTGCAGCCTCGCCACCTCCTCAATACTACCTGTCCCTCCACCTATCTTTATATCGTCTGCAAACTTAGCAAGAATGCCCACAGTTCCTTCATCTAGATCATTAATTTACAAAGTGAAAAGTTGTGGTTCCAGCACTGACCCTTGCGGAACTCCACTTGTCATCGGCTGCCATCCTGAGAAAGACCCCTTTATCCCTACTCTCTGCTTTCTGCCAGACAGCTAATCTTCTATCCATGCTAGCACCTTGCCTCTAACATCATGGGCCCTTATCTTACTCAGCAGCCTCCTACGTGGCACCTTATCAAAGGCCTTCTTGAAGTCCCAGTAGATAACATCCATTGGCTCTCCTTGGTCTATGCTGCTTGTTACTTACTCAAAGAATTCTAGCAGATTTGTCAGGCATGACCTCCCCTTGATGAAACCATGCTGACTTTGTCCTATTTTACTATACACTTCCAAATATTCAGCAATCTCATCCTTTACAATGGACTCCAAACTCTTACCCACGACTGAGGTTAGGCTAATCGGCCTGTAATTTTTTGTCTTTTGGCTTACTCCCTTTTTAAACAGGGGTGTCATGTTAGCCATTTTCCAGTCCTCTGGGACCCTCCCTGACTCTAGTGATTCCTGAAAGATCACCACTAACGCTTCCACTATCTCTTCAACTATCTCCTTTAGAACTCTGGGGTGTAGTCCAACTGGTCCAGGTTATTTGTCCACCTTCAGGCCAATCAGTTTCACTCGCACCTTTTCCTTGGTGATGGCCACCATTCTCAGCTCTGCCCCCTGACTTGCTCGAATTTTTGGGATATTACTCATGTCTTCCACCGTGAAGACAGATGCAAAGTAATTATTCAGTTCCTCAGCCATTTCCTTGTTCCCCACTACCATCTCTCCACCGTCATTTTCCAGTGTTCCAATGTCCAGTTTTGCCTCTCTTTTGCCCTTTATATACCTGAAGAAACTATTACAGTCTTTATTTATATTACAGTCTAGCTTACCCTCATATTTAATCTTCTCCCTCCTTATTTCTTTTTTTGTTGCCCTCTGTTGGTCTTTGTAAGCTTCACAGTCCTCTGGTTTCCCACTGCCCTTCACCACATTACATGTCTTCTCTTTTGCTTTTATGCTATCCCTTACTTCCTTAGTCAGTCATGGCTGCCTCATCCTCCCTGTACCATGCTTCTTTTTCCTAGGGATGAATTTTTGCTGCGTCTCCTGAATTACTCCCAGAAACTCCTGCTATTGCTGTTCCACTGTCTTTCCTGCTAGGCTCCTCTTCCAGTCAATTCTGTCCAGCTCCTCCCTCATACCTCTGTAGTCACCTTTATTCAGCTGTAATACCATTACCTCTGATTCTATCTTCTCCCTCTCAAATTGCAGAGTAAATTCTATCATCTTATGATCACTGCCTCCTGAGGGTTCCTTTACCTTAAACTCCCTTATCAAGTCTGCCTAATTGCACAACACCAAATCCAATATTGCCTGTTCCCTTGTGGGCTCCACTACGAGCTGCTTCAAAAAGTCATCTCGTAGACATTCCACATTAAACTCCTTTTCTTGCAATCCACAACCAACATGATTTTCCCAGTCCACCTGCATATTGAAATCCCCCATGATCACTGTGACTTTGCCTTTCTTACACACCTTTTCTATCTCCTGGTGCATCCTGCACCCCAGCTCCTGACTACTGTTTGGAGGCCTGTACACAACCCCAACTATGGTTTTTTTTTACCTTTGCGGTTCATCAATTCTACCCACACAGATTCTACACCATTCGACCCTACTTCATTTCTTCCTAATGATTTAATTTCATTTCTCACTAATAAGGCAACCCCACCCCCTCAGCTCACCTGCCTATCTTTTCGATAGGATGTATATCTTTGGATATTCAGTTCCCAATCCTGATCCCCTTGCAGCCAAGTCTCCGTGATGCCTACCACGTCATACCTGCCAGTTTCGATCTGCACCACAAGCTCATTTACCTTATAAGAGATAACAAGGTGTAGAGCTGGATGAACACAGCAGGCCAAGCAGC